AGGTTTATTCCTAGGTATTTTATTCTTTTTGATGCAATTGTGAATGGAATTGTTTTACTGATTTCTCTCTCTGCTAATTCATTGTTAGTGTATAGGAATGCCACAGATTTCTGTGTATTAATTTTGTATCCTGAAACTTTGCTGAATTCAGATATTAGATCTAGTAGTTTTGAAGTGGAGTCTTTAGGGATTTTTATGTACAATATCATGTCACCTGCAAACAGGGACAGTTTAACTTCTTCCTTGCCAATCTGGATGCCTTTTATTTCTTTGTGTTGTCTGATTGCCATGGCTAGGACATCCAGTGCTATGTTGAATAGAAGTGGGGAAAGTGTGCATCCTTGTCCTGTTCCTGATCTTAAAGGAAAAGTGTTCAGCTTCTCACTGTTAAGTATAATGTTTGCTGTGGGTTTGTCATATATGGCCTTTATTATGTTGAGGTACTTGCCCTCTATACCCATTTTGTTGACAGTTTTTATCATGAATGGATGTTGAATTCTGTTGAATGCTTTTTCAGCATCTATGGAGATGATCATGTGGTTTTTGTCCTTTTTGTTGATGTGGTGGATGATGTTGATGGATTTTCGAATGTTGTACTATCCTTGCATCCCTGGGATGAATCCCCCTTGGTCATGGTGTATGATCCTCTTGATGTATTTTTGAATTCAGTTTGCTAATATTTTCTTGAGTATTTTTGCATCTATGTTCATTAGGGATATTGGTCTATAGTTTTCATTTTTTGTGGTATCCTTGCCTGGTTTTGGTATTAGAGTGATGTTGGCTTCATAGAATGAGTTTGGGAGTATTCCTTCGTCTTCTATTTTTTGGAAAACTTTAAGGAGAATGGATATTATGTTTTCTCTAAATGTTTGATAAAATTCAGCAGTGAATCCATTTGGCCTGGTGGTTTTGTTCTTGGGTAGTTTTTTGATTACCAATTCAATTTCATTGCTGGTAATTGGTCTGTTTAGATTTTCTGTGTCTTCCTGGGTCAGTTTTGGAAGGTTGTGTTTTTCTAGAAAGCTGTCCATTTCTTGTAGGTTATCCAGTTTGTTAGCATATAGATTTTCAGAGTATTCTCTAATAATTCTTTGTATTTCTGTGGTGTCCGTCATGATTTTTCCTTTCTCATTTCTGATTCTGTTTATGTGTGTAGAATCTCTTTTTTTCTTAATAAGTCTGGCTAGGGGAATTTTTAATCTAAGTAAAAAAAATGCAGGTCAAGAAAGTGGCCCAGAACAGGACCTGTGTCTAGTGTCAGCTATTAGGACTGGTTCTTTAGCCTTAAACCCTCTCTATTCTCTGCAGGAAGCAGGCCTCACATGCCCTGGGCTGACTGACAGCAGGGGGCCCTATGCATGGCGGGGTCCTTCCCTCTGTGGACCATATTGCTAATAGAATGCAATCTCACCCACACCCAAAGAATTCAACCAACCAGTTTTCCAAAACCCCATTCTCCCTGGGTTTACCTTCTTTATTATGTGTTTATTTCTTGGGTGTTGACATACTTAGCAATCTGGTTGAGACAAGTTGATGAGTTTCCATCTATCTTCCTGGCTGGGTTCTTGTGTGCCAGTCCAGGCTGGACATTTCAGACACTATCTCATTTATTATTCACTGTTGCTCTGGGTAGAGAGCTCTTTCTCCCGTTTTCTAGAAAAGGAAATCGAGGCACAGAGAGGTTAAGGAACTTGCCTACGGTCACAAAGCTAGGAAACGCAGAGTTTGGACCCAGGTCACAGATGTTGGAGCGACTGGAGAAAACCCCCGCGGCTCCAAATCAGCGGAGGTTAGTGGGGGGTTTGCTTCCGTCGTCCCCTTGGCCAGGAGGGGACCCGCGGGGGCGAGGCCGGCAGGGTGGGTCGTAAGAGCACTGGACCCCACGGTCCAGGTCCCCGAAACCTTTCGGCCGGAGGAGCCCTGGGTGCTGCTTGCCTGTGTGGGGGGGGCGGGGGTACAGGCCGGCCCGACCGGCGGTGGGTTCACTCTAGGGCGCACAAAGGCGTTAATAAACCCTCCGCCTTCAACCTCCGAGACGGTAACTTTGGGGGTCGGGGGTCCCTCTGTGCGCCTCGCTGCCCCTGCCGAAGGTCCGGGCCGCCCGGCCGGTCGCAGGTGGTTCCGGCGTCAGGGCTCGGAGCCTGCGCCCCCGACGCGCGCGGCCCTGCGGCTCCCCGCGCGGCGCCCGAGACGCGCAAACCGAAACCGAAACCGCCCGCGCCCTTCCCGGGGCGGGGCGGCCGGAGGGCGGGGCGGGGCCCGCGGAGACACCCGGGGCCGTCGGCGCGCAGCCCGGCGCAGGGCGCGCAGCCGCGGGCGTCGGGCGGGATGGCGGCGCGCAGCCTGGGCCGCGGGCTCGGCCGGCTCCTGGGCCGTCTGCGCGGGGGGCGCGCGCCGCGCCGGGCGGCCTCCGGGGCCTCGGGCAGCGACCCCGCCGCCGCGCCCGCCTCGTACCAGGCGCTGAGCGCGCAGGCGGCCCGCGACCCGGCCGCCTTCTGGGGGCCGCTGGCGCGCGACTCGCTCGTGTGGGACGCCCCCTACCACACCGTGTGCGACTGCGACCTCCGCGGCGGCAGGGTCGGCTGGTTCCTGGGGGGCCGGCTGAACGTGTCCGGTGAGTGGCCGCGGGGGCCCCGGGAGGCCCGGCCGGAGCCCCCGGCCCGCTGCACCCCGCGCGCCCCGCAGACCCGGCCGGCGTCCGCTGGGGTGGCGGGCGTCCTGGAGGCGGGAGGAACGGGCCCGAGCGAAACGCGCCTGGCCGGTGTCGGCACCGGCCGCCCTGGGGAGAGCCCTGCCCGGGTAAACAAACGGAGAGTGGTGGGCGCCCGGGGGAGGGGCCCGCGCCGGCAGCTGGAACCCCGGAATCTCTCGTCTGCTCGCTCCGGGGCCTGTGGGCGGGAAGGGGGTGGCCCCCAGTTCTCAGTTTCCGCCGCGCCCCAGAGACCCATGGCTGGCTTTACCCCCGGTGGTGACTGAGGTCCCAGAGACCCGCTGCGCCAGCCAGCCGGGGGGGGACAGTGACCGTGTCCCCCCAGACCGCCCGCACCTGCACGGAGGAGGTCCCGGAACTGGAGGCGTCAGGGCCCCACGGGGCCGCCTGGGGGAGGGGACTCCCAGCAGGAGGGGCGGGCAGAGGGGCCACAGCACCTGGGAGGAGGGAGTAGCCGGCCGGGTGGGCTCCGGGAGGGGCACAGGGCAAGACCTGCAGATCCTCGTGGCGGAGCCTTGCCCGGCCTGCGCTTTGAGGTACGATCTGCCGTCGCCCACCTCCCGGTTTTTCTGCTCCTCTGAGCTTCATGTGCACCCTGGGGGTGATCATGCCCACCTGTCAGGCTGGTGGTGAGGACAGAGTGCCGGCGCTACGGAAGGGGCCCACCTTTACTGGTGATGAGCAAGTAGTAGCCCTTTTCCTCTGCTATACTCAGAAACAGCCACAAAATTACAGGCAGAGTCTTGGAGTTATCTTTAAAACAAAGAATCTTTAAGGAACTTTGGACCAGACTTTTCCCCGTATCTCACTCTACTTTGCCGGTGACATCAAAATGAGTCATTTCACAGATAAAGAGTTTTCTGTAAAACTGAGTCAGCAGCAAGTACCCTTGATCTAGTGGGAAAAAAGTGCTTAGGTTCGCAGAGTCGGGAGAACGTGCCCTTGAAGGGCGGAAGAGCCATTGCAGAAGGAAAGGGGCAGGGGGTGAGGCTGCTTTGGAAACCGCGTCTGGAACCGGGAGGCCTGCGGCAGCTGGGAGCACACAGGTGGGCAGTGCACACCTGGAAGTTCTTGTTTGCGGCCTGGACAGCCAGCAGGCAGCGAGGGCCTGGGAGCCCCAGCCCATCGGGATGGCGTGGTCAGCAGGCAGTCCGGCCGCCTCCTCTGCCTTCACTTATTCCTTCCTGGTCCCCTTAGCCAGAAATTGAGCTGCAGAAAACTGGCTCGTAGAACAGCAGCATTCCAGTTGCATTTGCACCTGGAATGTGTGTGCCCGCTCACTCTTCCATCAGGAACATCTCTGCCCTTTGCCCAGTGTCTGCAAAACACAGAGGGACTGTATCAAAAAGGAGGAAGCCCAGGCATGGCTGCTCGGGAGCCGCCTGGGCAGCTGTGGACGGGTAGGGGGCGTTCAGTGCCGTCTGTCCGTCTGTGTGATGGTCGGCATGGTGATGGCTTGTTCCAAAGTGGTGTCAGTCTTGAAACGCCCGTTACCCCTCTGGGAAGAGGTGCACCAGTACTTCTCAAACTGTGGTCCCCGGACCAGCAGTGTCAGCTTGCCCTGGGAACTTTTCAGAAACAAGCTCTCAGGTCCTATCCTGGACAGGTCAGAAACCCTGCGGTGGGCCTGCCGCCATGTCCAGTATGCTCTCCAGGGGCTCCTGATGCCCACTCAAGGGTGAGAACCACTGACCTACATACCCCGAGCCAGGGCAGAGGGAGGTACTTCTAAAGCGGGCGGCATTGGGATCAGGGTCCTGGTGTGGGCGTAACACGTTTTCAGTTTTGGGTTTTGCCTGTGTTTTGAAGTCACGCCTGAGTCTGAATCCCTGCTTTCCCCTCACTGCCCTGCTTGGGTTACCTTATCTGCAGAATAGGAGAGGGGGTAACCGAATGCCCTTCTAGTTACTGTTCATATCAGACCACCCTCCCCCCCGGGTTTAGGGGCTCAAGGCAACCTCCATTTCGTTCCTTTCACGGGTTTGTGGGTCAGGACTTTGGACAGGGCCTGACTGGGCTGGCTTGCTGCTGTCCCCTGCCCGCTTCTCACTCCCAGCTCTGGGGCCTGGGCTGGGGCACTGCAGGCTGCGATTAGCTGGACCTGTGCCCAGAAGTCCCTCCTCCCCCCAGGGCTTCTCACAGCATGATGGCCAGGCCGGAGGAGCATCAGCGGCCTGAGGTGCCAGAGACCGAGGCAGAGGCCACCAGGCTTCTGACCAGTGGTGGACGGCCGGGAACATGTGAGGCCGTCGTCAGTGTGACTTGAGGAGATGCCTGCAGAGCGCCCTGCACTGCCTGGTGTGTTTCTCCCACTCCGCTGGTCTTTGTTATTTATTAATGAACCGAGGGGGAGGCCGTGGCCGTGAACCTGTCCTTCAGCACACCGCCAAGGGTGTGTTTCCTCTGAACAGGACCACATGGGTTTGCATCTGATCCACCTGGGATACGTGAGAAGCAGGCTGGGGAGGGCACGCAGATAGCCATCGTGGCTCTCAAAGTCCATCCCGGAGCTCTGATAGCCAGGTTGACAGGTGGGGTCATGGGTCAGAGGCCTCCAAGCAGGGCAGGAAGGACCTCCACTCTTCAGTGACTCACTGGAAAGCCCAGATCTAAAGAGATTTCTTCCCAGCCCTTAAAATCTGGCTCTGACCTTTTTAGGCCTCCACAGATGTTTTTGCTCTGTGACACATAAACCCAAGATGTCAGCAAGTTGCAAATGTAGAACTAGAGAGCAGTGATGCATGTTGCTTTCAAAACACACAACTAGGTTCTATCCTCTAAACACCAAATTCTGAGTCTTCCTTCCTTTTTTTAAAGCATGTGTGTTCTTGCTTTCAAGCAAGGGTGCATGTAGACTACCTTTAACCAAGTATTGAACACAGAGATTTCTGGATGCTTTTGGGTCCTTAGTGCTGGAATGGAAGCCATTCTGCTGTACCTCTCTACTCTTTATGATCTGCCCCCCAAAATTCAGAAGGCAGAGAAGGCGCTCCAGTCCTGGGCCCCATTTTTCTCTCAGTGATTAAAGTAACTTGTGTAAGGCCTTCAGGGAGCTCTGAGGGAAACTGCAGCCCCGACGCTTAGGAGGGGGTCCTGCAGGAGGGGCCGGGTCCCCCCCCAGTCGCGAGAGGCATGCTTACATTAAATAGCAGATTCTTCTGGAAAGTTGGAAAATACAGTTTTTGTGACTGATATAATATCTTAAAATGTGCCAGGGGGATTTTTCTATTTCAAGAAAGCTCATTGTGAATCCTTTTATGAGTATTAACTCCTTCTTTCTTTTAATTGAAATTGAATTTTTGTATCTGGGGGTCATTTAAAGTTGGGGAGGGGGAGGGATGTATTTAAACAACTGACAAGAGTTCTTGAAAATCCCTCTGTAAGGGTGTGCCATATTTACTACACAAATGATAATCTTCCTGGAATCCTTTTGAAAAAAACAAACTTGAGCCACTGGCAGGTATTTGCTTATTAACATTTGCAGAGCTGTGTTAGGCCCTGGGGTGTAGACCTAACTCACCCCACCTGCTCCTCATGACACCGGGGTGAAGGGGGTGGCGGTCCCACTGTACAGATGTGGAAGTAGAGGCTCCCACTCCCAACCCGTGGCGGATGGTGCAGAAAACGCCCGGTGCCACGAGCCTGCCCCTGCCAACGTGAACCGACTCCACGGCGGGGGGACTTGCCCTGGGTTTTCACAGCTGTGAAGGGAGGGTCATGACGCGCTGCCTGACCAGGGGGCCTCGGGGACCTTGGGACCTGATGCGGGAGGCTCAGCGGAGCCCTGGCAGAGCCAGCGGCTTGTGGCCTGGGCCGCGGGGCGGCGGGGAGGCGGGGGTCCTGGGGCTCGGAGGCGCCGAGGAGCTGGAAGAGGGGGCGCTGTGCCAAGCCTTAGACGCCAGGGCCTTGCCCAGTGCTTCAGGAAATGCCCGCACAAGGGGTTGTCCTGTGCTGTTGCCCGGTTCTTTGGGTGGAGACTTTTCTTTTTAATGTGGGGAGGCATGCCTGACCCTCTTTTCTCTCCGTCTGGCCCAGGCAGCAGGCACCACCCCTGTACCCCTGGCAGGGGATGCCTGGCCCTCCAGGGCCACCGCCACCCCAGACCCTGCCCTGAGCCTCCTCCAGGCGCCCCGTCACCGGGTGTCTCCCGTGGGAACCCGCCACGCTGTCTGCCCCCCGAGACAGGAGTGCTCTGCTGATGTCTGGCGCCTGCCACGCTCCTGGCGCCCCCGCTGGGAGTCGGGAGGCGAGACCCGGGGATGGGTGGGGGAGCACCTAGCGCGCGGGGCTGGGGCCTGGGGCCTGGGCTTCCCCAGCTCCGCTGCCTCGGTGTCCGTAATCGCCTACGCCCCAGGAGGTGTCTTTAGTGACTCCCGCCCCCGCAGCTAACACAGGCCCTGGAGGCTGGGCCGCGTGTCTGGCTAGAGGCCGTGGGGACTGCGCACACACCCGTCTGCTGGGGCACCGTCCCGGGCCAGGGGCAGCAGCGTCCGGTGGGCTTCAGGGAGAGGGGAAGCGGCTCCCGCCTCTGATGCCGCGTCAGAGGCCGCAGGTGGGGAGTCCGTGTGCTAACAGGCCCTCCGGGGCTTGGGGTTGAGAAGTAGTGATTTAGGCCTCGAATCTGCTTCAGGGACAAACCCACAAAGATACAAAGTTTCCTCCACTGGGCAGAGGGCCACCGTGGTGTCACTTAGGCCCCGGGGTCACTGTCCGGCTCAAGGACTCGGTGCCCCTCATGGTGTCCCGGGCTCTGCTGCTCCTCTGCCCTGTGCTGGGAGGCTGCACATACACAGAAGGAGCGGAGCGTGCAGCCCTGCCCACGGGGCAGCACGAGTGGACACCGCAGGAGGACTTGGGGGAGGCGTGAGGGACAGGGGAGGCGAAGTCTTCAGCGAGAGCGTGAGGATGAGCGGGGGTGGCAGCGGTGGGAGAGTGGGCAGCGCCCCCAGGCAGGGAGAATCGGGGGTGAGGTCCGGCCAGGAGGGGGCTCCGACGCAGATGGCCAGCGGGAGAGCAGGAGAGGCCTCCTGCTGAGCACCTGCTCTGCGCAGGGAAGGCACCCGGGGCTCAGCGCTGACCTGCCACCTGTCAGCCCTGGGAAGAAAGGGACACACAGCCAGTCTTGTGGCCACACAGCCATGCACAGGGCGCCCAGTGTCCTTCCAGGGGCTGGTTTTTCTCCTCCACCTCCTGTGAGCTCAGCCTTCCTGCTTGGCATGAGCCAGGTGCAGGATGCCCTGCCGGGCTCTGGGTGGGCTGTCACTGGGTGAGAAGCGCAGCAGCAGGTGAGGCAGGGAGAGGAGCCCAGGTGAGCGTGCTTTGAAGCCTTTTTCGGTGCTTCCGGGCGGCAGCCTGGGGCAGGTCACCAGGCCTGCTGGACCACCTGGAGCCTGTTTCTTAAGCCACAGCTGAGCTGGTCATTTTCGGGATGGCTCAAAGGGTCAAATTCAGAGTGGGGGAAGGTGTTAGAGCAGCTTTTTGGTGAGTGTTGCACGACTCATGGCATCTTCTACTGGGCAGATTTGGGGTGGTGGTGAGGGTTGGCATCTATGTTCAGCCTTCCGGTGATGCCTGGGGCAGACAGGGGCCAGTGAACCCTCGCCTGCAGGTGGGAGCAGCCCCTCTTCCTGCTGGACCCTGCTCGGTGCACCCTGCAACTCAGTCTGTCGGTCCTCAGCTGGACCCTTCGAGGCTTGTCTTGCCCTGCCTGGGCCATCGCTGCCCATTCCACTGGTCAGGTCTTTCCGGGCCAGGTAGGGGGCCAGGGCCTGCCCCTGCCGGTCACTCCTCAGCTCCCAGGGGACAGTATGGCCTCATCGGCTGACTGTTTAAGAGAAGCCAGCAATCTGTGGTTTTAGTGTGAAAAGTGATTTCTAAATTCTGGCCTGGATTAAGACACGTTGATGTTGGGTTGATTGCTTAAACTGAGGTTTTGCCACCAAGCCCCTTGTCAGTTTTTCTTGCTTTCCTCTCTTTATTTTGACATCTCTTCTGTTTTTCTAGTAATTCAAAGAACTTTCCTGTGTCAGAAAATCTTAGTAATTTTTTCCATGACATCTGTCTTCTATTATTACATTTTTTTTGAGGAATAATCTATGTATCTGTTAGAAGCCAAAAAGTTGAAATGAAAATTTTAATTATAAGAATAGATGATAGATAACCCAAATGGGAAAAAATACAGTTATCACCCCACACCCCACAGACACAAGAGCTGAAGTATGCAAATAATTTCACGTGGGTTCACCCTTTCAAGAATTATGAGAATCACATGATCTCCGGTGGGCATGGTCTCCCATAACTTTTGCCACAATGGTTATTCTACCAGGAAATACTTATAAAAGCCTCTAACTCATAGCGTGGTGTTTATCTTGGAGAAGGGAACTTTGTATTCCTGTAACAGCACGTGGGCAGCCGGCTTTCCGTGTGATTCCTGTCTTAGCCCTGTAAGCAGACATGCGGATGACGTGTCTCCCATTGGAGAGGGGAGATAGATTTGGGGAAGATAAGGAACTGCCCTGAAAAGAAACACAGAACAAAAAAACGTGTGTATCCAGGCACTGCGATGACCCCAGAGACCAGGGGGGCAGGCGGCCGCGGGCCCACAGCTGCGCCGTGGCATTTCTTTCCTGCTGAAGCACGGGTGGTGGGCCTGGCTGGTCAGAAGCGTCTGAGTTGAGCTCACCTTGACATCAGAGTGGTGACAAGGGTTTTAGCGAAGGAGCATGAGCCTCCTCCAGGTTTATAGTCCCTGGCAGCACCGGCCTCCTGTTTCTGCTGGCAGTCATGTGATCTGAGCTTGGGTAATGGAGGGGGGGGCAGCAGAGCCTTCCGGAAAACCCGCCTGGCATTTCCCCATCGTTGCATCACTTCTTGGAGCGAGGGCTGGTCTGGAGGCTGCTGGCTGGACATCTGAGGAGAGCTGGATCCTTGCGCCGCCCTGCGGCTCCCGACGCCGGGCACCCGCCGTGTGACCTGAGTGCTGAATCAGGGCGTCCTGTCTGCATTGGTGCTCCTTCCAGCGGCCGCAGCTGCGGTGCTCGGCCCAGCTGCACGTCAGAACCATCAGGGAGCCTCGAGTCCCGGGGAGCCAACTGGGTCAGGGCCCCCAGGCGGCCCAGTGCGGGGGCGGGGGGGTGCTGGGGCCACGGGCACGAGGCACGGACCTCAGGGGACCCACGAGGGATCCTGTTTGTGTAGTGATGGCCTCACTGCCCACAGTCAGCTTCCCCTTGCAAGCTGGGAGACACCTCGCCGTTGACAAGGGAAGGGCCCGCCTCAGCGAGAGGAGCGCAGACCACAGCCACCCAGATCCTGGCCCGACCCCAGAAGCCCCTGGAGTATAATAATATATGTGATACAATATGTAATATGATATAATTAATGTAATATAATGTAACAATATAATAGCGTAATAATGGTCACCCTGTTTTCCGGCAGTCAACTGCTTGGATCAGCACGTGCAGAAGTCCCCGGAGAGCATCGCTTTGATCTGGGAGCGAGATGAACCCGGGACCGAAGTGAGGGTCACCTACAGGTACGTGTGCGTCCCGCCGGCCGCCCAGGGCCGGGCAGGGTCTCCGGGGCCTCCGGGCTGTGCGCGGAGGACACCGGCACCAGACACCTCCCCGGGCTGTTCGCAGGAGCGGGCTCGCCCGCGTGGAGCAGGGCTGGCCTTCCTGTCCACCGCGTCGGAGCTCAGTGACTGCACGGCCGTGGGAGGACCCTGGACTTTGGGGACCAGTATGACGGGAGTTCAGGCAATGGGAGGCTCTCGGCACAGCCCTGCCTGTGTCCAGTTCTGCGGGGGGGCTTCACCCAAGGGTCAGGGGACACGCCTCGGTCTGCGAAAGTTCTCTGGTCCCAGGAAAGGTGAGCATAAGCAGCTGATGACATGTGCGCTGGAGGATATGGACCAGCCCACCGAGCCGCTTCCTCGGTGGCTCATGAGAGCGGGGCGGTAGATAAAACTGAGTCTTGAAGAGGGGTGCTCCTGGCATTTGTATTCTTTGATTCCTTAAACAAGCTCCTCACACACTCTATGTGCCAAGCACCCTTCTGGATGTAGTGTGTGCCCTGGGGGCTTGGAAGGAACCCAGCGTCTGGGAACAGTGGCCCTCCTGACGCACAGGCTCCTGCTGGGATTGCCCTGCTCAGGGGCCTCTGTGTCTGTGTCTGCAAGGCGTTGGGCCTCCCTCCCCTGAGGGAAAACCCCTTTGCCTAAGCCTCGACTTACAGCGCATCTCAGACCCACTGTGAACCTGCGTCTCCTTGATCACCTCCCGCCCCCCCCCCCATCAAGCGTGATTGCTCTTGTGGGGGGCAGCTTACGGCTTCTCCAGTCCAGTCATCTAAGGAGGCTCTGTGAGCGCCTGTATCAGTCAGGACAGGCTGGGCTGTGTCGCAGTAACAAGCAGTCCCCAAATGCATGGTTGGCTATGGCCGGGTGGTCACTTTGTGTATTTATTTTTAATTGCAGTGTAGTTCATATATAATATTTTTATTAGTTTCAGGTGTACAGTGTAGTGATTTGAGAATTACATTACTAAATGCTCACAATGGAAAGTGTACTCACCAACTGTCATTCACGCAAAGATATCACAATATCACTGACTATACTCCCTGTGCTGTACTATCATCCCCATGACTGATTTATTTATAACTGGATGTTACACCTCTTTATCCCCTTCACTTGTTTCTCCTGGCCCCTGGGCCCCCTCCCGTAAGGCCACCACCAGTCTTTTCTCTGTATTTATGAGTCTATTTTGTTTTGTTCATTTGTTCGTTTGTTTTGTTTTCTAGAGTCCACATATAAGTGAAATCATTTGGTACTTGTCTTTCTCTGCCTGGCTTATTTCTTGAGCATAATACCCTCTAGGTCCATCCATGTTGTTGCAAATGGCAGGATTTCATCCTTTTGCACAGTTGAATAATATTCCGTTGCGTATATGTACCACATCTTTATCCTTCATCTGTTGGTGGACACTTTGGTAGCTTCCGCATCATGGCTATTGTAGAAAATCCAGCAATAATAATAGGGGTGCATATATCTTCTTGAAATACTGGTTTTGTTTTCTTCAGGTGAATACTTAGAAGTGGAATTGCTGGGTCCTGTGGTATTTCTAGTTTTAGTTTTTTGAGGAATCTCCCTACTGCTTCCTGTAGTGGCTGCACCAGCGTACATTCCAGGTGGTCACTTTAGACGCGGAGTTAGAGGAGGCCCCTCTGCGGAGGTGACGTGGAAGCTGAGGTCCTGCTGGCAGGAAGGAGCAGCCAAGACTGAGGGGAACTTCCCAGGCCCATCCCGGACCTTGGGGGGGACTAGGCACAGGCGCCCCAGAGCAGAGAGAGAGAGAAGGTGTGCATGCTGGGCTGGTGGGAGTGAGGGGGCGTGGTGGGGGGACGTGCAGGGAAGCAGGTTCAGACCCCAGGGGCCCCAGAGCCGCAGTGGCCTCCCACCACGGGGGTGACTGGGCGGGGTCACTGAACACCCTTAATTTTCTGTTTCTTTCTCAACTTCAGGTTTTATCACAGACCAAATCCACCAACCCTGGTAAAACTGTGCTCAGGTTGACCTCTGGATGCAGTGAAGTGACGTTTGTCTGTGACGGTGGCTCCTTGTGGGCTCCGCCTTGTCATCCTCCCCTGGCAACCACAGGCTGTCTCGGCCTTTACCGGTCACTGCGTCATCTCTGACCCGCCTGCCCACCAGGAGCTCAGGGCCTGCACAGGTCAACCTCCCACCTCTGTGCCACCCGCGGGCCGGCAGCACTGCCGCCAGGGAGCCTCAGGGCCCTTCCAGGCAGAGGCAGGTCCCAGGCCCAGTGTGCGCTGGAGTTTGGGGGGCACCGCTCAGATAAGCGAACTGGCCCCACTGTTCTTTCTCTTTCTGGCCCGACCTGGTGTGCGTGTGACTCTTCAGTAAGAGGCGTGGCTCTTTGGGTGGACATGGTGCTGGAGGTGCAGAGGTCCAGCCACGGCCTCGTCTGGGGTGGCCTTGGCCCAGGCGGCCGGTCAGGTGGGTGCCCCTTGGCTGGACATGGCTATGCCCACCTGAGCTAGTGTTCAGCGGCATTAGGCAGTCTGGGCTGGTTCAGGGTTTCAGGGCCACTGCCCCTGAGTTAAAGCAGCTTCCTTTCCGTTGCCCAGGGCAGGCCCGGGTGAGGGACAGATTCCTGCATACAGGTGAAGGGCTTGTTATCCTTTCTTTGAAAATAAACAGACTTGGCCCACCTTGGACTTTGGTTTTACAGACTCTCTCTGGGCTTAGCACCAGCGAGTATTTTTCTTCACTGTCTGGATGAAGTGTGTGTACAGGCTGTCTGGAATCGCAGCTGGTTCTTGAGGGACTTGAGTTAATGATGTTTCCGGTCATTTTAGGTTTCACCCACCTTCCTGACCCTCAGTCTTCTCACCTGCAGAATGGAAACAGGCTTCTGCACCAGGCTGCTGGGTACTGAGCAGCAGGCGGAGGATGAGAGCTCAGAGCAGTGTGTGGGAGGCTCAGGGTCTGTCTCAGCTGCAGGTCAGCGCCAGTCGCAGGGGGCTCGGCAGAGGGCTTCAGCGTTGATGAGGGGAGGGCGGGGTGGCCCTGTGGCTGCTGAGCCGAGGGGGCGTGGGGCCGTGGCGCTCTCCGGGAAGAGCTTCTGGAACTGTCCTGTGTCAGCAAACGCTGCCCCTCCCCTTCTCATGTGCCCGACCTGCATGAAGTTCTGTCTCCAGCCCCAAGTCAGTTACTTAGTGAGTAAACTCTGTTATGAAAGCATCGGGGCAGTTGAGGGGGCAGATCCTTAACTGGCCAGCCAGGTGATGGAGGGGTGCTTTCGCCCTGTGCAAGGTTGGTTTGATCGGTGGGCTCCTGGGTGGGGAGGAGAGGCCAGGCCTCCTGGGCTCTGCACGTGTCCTGCTTCCCGCCAGCTAATTCTTTCCCCTGCTGACCTCTGAGGAACTTGGATTGCAGAGCCTGCCTGGGAGTCACACTGAGTCCCAGAATCTGGCAGAAACTCTGGCTCAGCCACAGCATGCTAGCGTTAAGACTTTGACTCTGCATGTTGAAACTGGAAAGTATTTTGAATCTTTCAATATATTCCCACTTATTTTTCTTTTTTCTTTGTCTTGCTTTTGGGCCAGCTGAGGGCCTTGGAATTTCATATTTTAGGATGGCCATATCTTGGGACCATGTCAGGCATGAACCGCATGGAGAGAGCCTGTCTTTATGTCCAGGGAACCTCCATGACAGGGCCTTTCTGGGAACCTCTGGGGCAGACAGTGGAGAGGTTTACGTGAACGGACACCTCGCTCAGAGCTGGACCCCTGCCTTGTGGACCCCCTTCTGCCAGGCAGGGGCTCCTGGGGGGCTGGCCACTGGAGGTGGAGGGGCTGGACTGGAGAGGGAGTGGGCTCTGGGGGTGAGGGTATGTGCAGGGTGCAGGTATGTCTCTGGGAGGGGGTGCTTAGCACGGGCTCCGAGTCGGGGAGCTTGGAGAGGAGTCTCCCAGGACACGACTTCTCTGTCCTGTTTTGCTGTTTCCTTTCCACTTCCGGAGGCTCCAGACTGTGGGGTCAGCCTGACTCACAGCTGTGCTATGTGCCCGGTGTTGGTCTCCAAGGGGCAGTGCTGCTGGCATAGAGGGCGCCTGGCCGAGTGTTCTGTCCTGTCTAGAAACACGCAGGGGCCCTACTCTTGGGGTCTGCATCTTCACCCCTGCCCCTGCCCCCAGTGCCTGCTTGCCCCTCCCTTGCTAGGTGGGCACAAAGGGAAGGTGTCACCATGAGGTTAGATGTGGCATCTGGGGCGGGCACACCGCCCCCCTACCCCATCCTGCCCCTTCCCATGCTCAGCCCCAGGCCGGCCTCCAACACGGCCGGGCTGGACCCCACCTGTCCACTGCCTGCCCAGGGCGAGGGCTGCAGCAGTGCCTCCTGGGAAGGTTCCTGGGGACCATCCACACGCCAGGCTGGGAGTGGGGCGCGCCCACCCTGTGTTGACCTGAAGTTGCTCTGTCTGCCTGGGGCCACTCCCTGGCCAGCTGGGTGGGAGCTGACGCTGATGGCCTTGGTGATATTCCTGACATCCTCTGTTTTAAGGCCCATGACCTGATGCTCAGCAACCTTAAGGAATTTCCAAGCTTACCCACTTGGAAGGTCAGAACGGGGTCTGAGCTCAGTGTTGCCTGGCTCTGAGGGAGGTGCCCAGGAATCGGAGTCTCGCAGCCTCATCCCCAGGGCGAAGGTGAAGGTGTAAATGGGCCCCTGCAGCTCTGCAGCAGTCGCTTGGGGACAGGTGGGGGCCTGCTGGCCCTGGTGTGCAGAGACTGGCCCCTGCTGTGTGCGGACGGTCCACTCTTCGCTAGCTGGGGCTCTGTGTTCCAGATGCCTGCCCCCCATCATGGACAAGCAGATGCACATTAAGTGCTAACACCAGCTGGGGAAGAGGGGACTCCTCAGTGCCGTAGGGCTCCTGGTGACCTGGAGCAGGCACAAGGGACATGGCAGAAGGCGGGCAGAGGGCTCTGCAGTCCTGCTCTGACTGGGGGACAGTGAGGAGCAGATGGCACAAGAGCTCGAGGGTCCCTGCAGGCCTTGGAGGGGTGGGGGTCCCAGGGGAGGGTGATGTAGGGGTGCAGGCTGTGTCTCAGAGCAGCCGCTGCCCGGATGGCGCTACCCGCTCCTTTCTCCTGACCCTCCATGGCTGCCTTAGGTGTCAACTGACGTGGTCAAAGTAGGGCGTTGGGTTGGGTGAGAGGCTTGACAGTTTCCCATCAACAAGTCCAGTCACGCGTCCTCAGAGAAGCCCAGGGCGGGGTTTCTGGGTGGGTTTGGTGTAGGTCGGCACTTCCCTGTCGTCCCTGCCAGTTCTGCCTGGATGGAGGCTTGGGGAAAAACGCCTGGGCCGAATGAGGCAACATGGACCTGGAATTTAGAACAGGGGCCTGTGGGGTCTTCGCAGGTGCAGAGATGCCCCGGGCTCTCCACAGATGAGAACTGTAGCGACGGGTCCCTGGCAGGCCCCAAAGCAGAGTTCCCAGCCCAGGATGTGGGGAGGTTTCCGAAAGGACAGAATCTGGGCAGCGCTTGGGAGATTTTCTCTGGTAACACGGCTACCTGCCCTGGTGGGAGGGAAGCTGTCCGTCACATGCAGCTGCAGACGGGGAAGCCACTGCCACTCTCTGGAGCAGAAAGGGAGTTCATAGGGTGCTTACAAAGCCTCCGGGCGGGTTCCCGGCCCCACCTGCATGCCCAGAGGGCTCAGGACACCCCACAGGCAGTTCTGGGTTCCCAAAGCATGCTGGTGTGCAGGGGCCAGGAAGCCACCACTCTGCCGGCCCGGGGGCTTCCCAGCACCCTCGGCGGAGGTGGGGCCTCCCCGGGAAGTCCAGCATCCCCTGAGCTGCAGGAAAGCCGTGGCCCTCTGAGGCGCTCTGGGTGCAGCTCCCTGCCGTTGCCTGCGTCATGCGCGGAAGCCAGAGGCAAGGCATCTGAGTGGGGTACGTCTGGGGGTGCAGGCCTACAGAAAGCTTGCATGGCGACTGCAGGCAGACCCAGTTGGGGTGGGTTCATGGCCCCTGGTCCAGGGCGGTGGACCGTGGTCGTATGTAGCTGGCCCAAGGGTCCCTACCCCTGCGGTCGGCGAGCAAACCGCCTCAGGCGCTCGGTGGCCACAGGCCTGCTCTGCTGGACTCCGGCCGTGGCCGTGACCGAGGCCTCCCACGAGGTGGGCCGCTCGGCTGTGGGTTCACAGGTGAAGAGGTCTGTGTGTTACCAGCTGGTGCCAACAGTGCACTCAGTGTGGACTCTGGGGTCCCAGGGCCAGGGTCTTAGAGCAGGGCTGACCACACCGCCCTGAAGAGGCCCTGGTGACCGGGCTAAGCGGGGTGTCTGAGATGGTGGGTGCTGCCTCTGACCCTGGGTGCAGGAGCAGAGCCTGTGGAAGCCCAGCTTCGGAACTTAACACTGAACTGGGCACCTTCAGCCCAGGGTCAGGGTGACGGGCTGGACTGGTGTGAGGGAGGGCTCCTCCAGGCTCTCCACGTGAACAGCGTTAATTTTTCTTAGCGATTATTTATTACTGAGCAAATGCTTATTTTTTTAGAGAGTGAACTAAATGAGCTGCAAGCTCCCTGCTCATTCAATAAGATATGCTGGTGGCTGGAACCGGTCAAGGTGGGCATATTCACACCACGATAACTGGCAGAGGCTGAGAATCGGGTTCTTTTTTAGCTGAGAAAGATGGCTGGTAAAAAGCTGGGCAGCACCACCGAGGGTGGGCTCCATGGCCTCCCTTTCTTTGCGGTGATTTTGTGTTTCTCTAAGTTGCTACCCAGGGGCAGGGAGATGGACCCAGGCCCGAGGTGGTCGCTCCTCGGGATCCCCCTGTGTGGCCGTGTCTCTCCTGGGCTCCTAGTTTGTGATGAAGCCTGAGAAATAGAGCCCAACTTGTGTCTGCCCCGGACCTTCCTGTGTGACCTCAGTTGCCTGTGGCTTGCTGTCGCTTTTGTGGCCCAGGGGACTGTGTGCAGCAGTGTGGACGTACCGCCGGGTCACACGTGGGCCATGTGGAAGCACCACCGGGTCACACGTGGGCCACGTAGCCCTGGAGTGGGATCTGAAGAACATCCTGTGGCTTTTATTTTTTTAAATATAGGGAAAGGGAAATGTTTTTAGAAAGTCAAACCTCCATCCACTTGAAATTCTCCCAGGGCACGTACAGCACTTCTGAGGCTTTTCCTGGGAGGTCAGCAAGCCTGTCCAGCCAGTGGGCGAATGTCCTGCCAGGGTGCCAGCTGTTTCTGGGTGGTTTCCAGGCCTGGAGCCTCCTGTCCAGGGCTGCTAGCCTGCAGGAATCCCTGGGGTTCTCAGGGCCATCGGCCAGGAGCGCTAATGTTTAAGCCCTCACAGTAGCTGGAACAGCCTGAGACAGAAGCAGATGTGTGGCTCTGTCGTGAGGTCAGTCAGCCGTTGGGTCCCGAAAGGAAAGAAGTTTTTTTCTGGAGATGAGATTCCGGCTGAAGGCTGGTGCTGAGGTCCAAGGGGAAATCAGGTGTTAATTAGGGAACAGGAGAGCGCTCTCCTCAAGTCGGACCATCGTTTCCACTCCACAAGGGTGTCTAGAGGCTGACCGCGTGCCGGGCTGGGCTGTGAGACCTGGGCTGGGATTCCACCTGGACGCGCCCGGGTGGCCCTCACCGAGTCGGGAAGGCAAAGGCCCAGCTCTCCTCTGACCTGATGATTGGCCTACAAAGAAACATGCTTCTGAGAAACTCCAAGTCCAGCACCTTCCCTAGATTACAGCAAAGCCTCAAGGAAAATAATCAAGGAAAATACATTTATTTTCTGGGAGAAAGCCGAAAGCATGCAGCTTTAGGGACCCCCAGTTCATCGGCTGCCCTGGTGTCCCCGGGGCAGGTCAGCCTGTTTTTCCTGGGGACCTTGCTTGGCAAACAGCAGCTTTAGGCGTTTTTCCCGTGTTAGTCCAGCAGCTGCTTTAAATTCAGCTGCGGCTTCTCTGTGCCAAAGGTCGTGGTCAGGGAATCACAGTGATGTGTGAGGCGTTTCATGCTCCGTTCATGAACCTGTGCCCCGGGATTTCCTGGGCTTTTATGCGCTCAGTGGTGCTGAGTAGCCGAGGGAGCAGATTCCAGGACCATTAAGTCAGGTTTAGCGTCTGTCACATGTCAGGGTCAGTGGAGTGTGTCCGGAGGGAAGGGGGGGCCCAGGCCTGGTTCTGCGACAATACGTGAGCAGCCCACGTGCCCCACCTGGCCCTCCACACCCTTCCCATGCGTGAAGGGGTCCCCTGTGCTCTTCTGTTTTCCGAAGCTGATCCTTTCTTCTCTCGACACCTCCACCTCCCAGAAATGGTTTGCCGACGGGAGCATCAATCTTAGAGCAGGATACCGAGGGGCTATGGGTGTCCTTTCTGCTCCTGCTTCTAGGCCATGCGGTCAATCTGCCCCTGTCAGCACCCAGGCTTGGAGCAAGGTGACGGTGAAGCGCTCTGTGTCTGTCCAGTCTTTGCTTCCCTTAGGACGGAAGAAAATGAAGAGCAGCTGTGGGCTGGCTTACCAGTGGGGTGGTCCTCACATGCTCTCTCAAAGGAGCAGGACAGTTTCCTGTCTGTGTGACACGGGTCTTGGCCCTCTTGGTGCAGGAAGGAGGACCTCTGGTGTGTGACAGGCGCTCATGGTTTGAGCTTGGGCCTGAGCTACTTCACACTTCCCTGCTGTTCCCATTCATTCAGCAAACATTTATCGACGTTCTTCTGTCAGCTCTAGGGACTGGGAAGAAGGCAGTAAACCCCAGACCCCTGCCTGAGTGGAGCTTGTACTCAGGGGGCAGATGGACAGTGAAGGAGGTAAGCTAGTTCACTAGTGTTTATTTAATGAATGCTGAAAGCCAGAGAGTGTGTAGAAGTCAGCAGTCATGCATTCCCCGTTTGTTTATTTCTTAAATACAGCAACACACACACATGGCTTATCTTACTTCCCTGGGCTGTCCTCAGGAAATGGCTCGGGGGAAAGATTCTTTCAAATAGTAATCATGAAAAAATGGCTATGATTGGAGGATAGATAAATAAATACCAGTGTATCCCCTTCTCTTTCTTCTGAGCTGTTTCTTGCTGTGTCCTATTTTGGACTGAGCTGGAACAGGGGTGCCCTTTTTCCTGTCTGTGTTCTGACAGGTGTCACCTTGGCTACCCCACTTGTGGCCAGATTATGTCTTTAGCGATGGATAAATGGTATTCCTGGATGAAGCTTAAGGATTGGCTGTCGAAGGTCTCGTTGTTTCCCCAGAGGCCAGTCAGCATTTTACTGGTGTTCAGCACCATGAACACAAGGCCAAAGTCATGTATCTGTGCATATTGTTTGCACACGTCCACACTGAGGGCTTATTCCGAGGAGTCTGCATTGCAGACAGATGTAGGTAGCTTGCTCCGTACCTGAATAATGACTGTTGTACTTCTCTTTGCACTTGAAAATATAGCTCTGAGTCATTTTTAGGGAGATCATTTCTCAGAAAACTGTATGTCGCTGTCCCTTGGAAAGATCCTGCAGGCAGCAGGAAGCCAGTGTTTCCTGTAGTGACTACCGAAGCACTGGCCATTAAGTGGCCGCATTATCTTTTTAATACAGAAATGGTAGCATTTCAGCTTGCAGAATCTTTAAGAAGTCACAAATATCCAAGAACATGGTTTTGAACAGTTTTCAGTCTGTGGAGTGACAGAATCACGTGAATAACATTTACTTTTCAATGACTTGAAGACCTAGGTTTGTTGACCATATTTTCCAATGATACAAGTGTGGAGATTAATGTGCTTTTAAATCATATTATTAAATGTAATATTGGGCTCAAGGGTCTGGGTACCCATATTCTGCTCTGGGAAAACACAATGGGAATGTGGGGGTCCATGTAGTAACCTGGGGTGTCTAGAGAGAGAGTGGGGTCATGGAGGGAAGGGTGAGGGGGTTATTCAGGAACCTGAAGGGCTGTCCTTGAACGGCAAATTAGATTTATCCTGTGCAGCTTTGAAGGGCTGAGCTAGGACCAATGGGTAGAATTTGAAAAACCACACATCTTGGTCCAATTTTAGGAAGACTGTTTCTCTGCTGAAATGACAAAGAGGCAGTAGCCCTGTGAGGTGGTGAGTTCCAGTAGTGTGATGTTTAAGCGGAGGCCCGACTGCTATGGCACGAATGTGGCAGATTTCTGAGCCCCAGGGAGGTTCAGAATCTGACTGTCAAGGGTCCCAGTCTTGAGGTTCATGGCCTTGGCTGAGTGGGTCAGAAGGGGAGCGCACTGAGATTCACCTGGATCCGGTTCTTCATCAGAAACCTCTCCTCCGGATGCAGCAGCAAGAGCGTGGGACCCACAGGCCCCGCTCCGGTGCTGGCCCTGGGGCACGTGTTGAGACCCCACGATCCTCGAGGGAACCTGTGGCCTGCCTCAGTGGGTCCACACCCTCCCCAGGGCTGAAGGTCAAATGCTCCCGCTCTAGCCAGCTGGGTGACTTCTGCCCATGCAGGGAATATTCATTCATTGCTTTCTCCTTTGCTGATTTCCTTCTCCCCACAGCCAGCCTTTCTGGAAAGCTCTCCCCGCTGCCCTCAGCAACTGTGCTGCCAGGCTGAGGTGACACGTGCCCTTCACGCTCTCCTGCATGCGCCTTTGGAGTGGTCCTGGAGGCCGCTTGCCCTCTCATTTCCTAATACCCCACTCACCCCCTGAAATGGTGCTTATAACGGATTTGGCAAAGTGAGTTTGCAGATTTTAGTCCTTTTAGAAAACCCTTTCAAAGACATTTCACCGCCAAATGTTTGGCAGGGCCTTGGGTGGGCGCTGCTTCTCATTAACGGTGTGACGGCCGCACAGGGGGTGGCACCTGCTGTTTCTCAGGCGATTGCCCGGCAGGAGGGGACAGATGAGCTCCTGTCTGTGTGGCCTCTGTGGAATGCTGGCCCCAGCTGCTCTGCAGGGGCAGTTCATATCCCTTTGTTGACCTCAAACTGCTGCCTTTAGTCTGAAGAATAAGGGCAGCATTTCATGGCCACCGCTCTGTGACACACTCAGGAAGCCTCCGTGTCCCCGGGTGTGGCCCGAGGCTCACGTCCTCAGAGCTGTGAGGATGGGGCCTGCGTGCACGTGGGCTACCCCTCCCCACCACTAACCACAGCTGCCTCTTCAGCACCTTTCCGCGCACCCCCGCTCCCCTGGAGGAGCAGGGGTGCTTCTGGGTCCTGGATTTGGGGAGTGCGGTGTTGGAGGCTGTCAGGACTTGCTCCTTCACCAGAAACTTAGGCGAGGGAGGGGCGGGGAGGGCACCACTGAAAGGCTCCTTTGTCGACTCTCGGAAGGCATTAAGGAGGAAGGTTGAAATCCCACAGAAGAGGCCACGAGGCTGCCTGGGCTGGAGCTGCTGGCGGCCTGGGGAGGTGCCTGCTGGCCCTGGGTTCTGGTGCGCATCAGGTCTGGCCTGTTGGCTCTGGCAGGAAACAAAGGCCCCCTGGGGGCCCCTGCCCGCCTTCATTTGCATTCAGCTGTTGTAAGTTCCGGAGGCTCTGGCTGAGCAGCGTCTTTCCCCGAGCCCCTCCCCTGACAGCCCTTGGAGCAGAGGGGAACTATGCGCTCCTCGGGCCTGTGCAGCCACGCAGAGCACAGGCGGGGCGGGGGGGCCTACCCCCTCCGTCCTTCTGTGTTAGGTCGTCTATTAAGTGACAGATTAAAATCAAACCATGTACAGCAAAAATGGGAAAACGATTGGCTGTTTGCAAAGCCCAGGTTCAGCTGGCTAAGGTGCTGGAGCAACGTGGGACAGAGAACCCGCCTTCGGGGTCCTTCCTGCACCCACCGCTGCACTCCAGGCACGTGGGCAGCCCCTGTAGTCCCGGTTTTCTGGGGTTGACTGCCATCGACTCTGATTGGACAGAATCAGGTCATGTGCCAGCCCCTGCGCCAATCGGCTCGTTCAGGGAGATTTGGCCCTCTGGCAGGCAGGACCTCGCGATGGGCCTGGTGGGGGGCAGGGACCGCGCATGCCCGGTCGGTCTCCACGCCGCGGCGGTCCTGGCGCTGCCTGCGGCCCGGGTGGCCCTGTGGCCCAGTCCCGCCCGCGTGCTGCGGCTTCGCCGAGCGCGTCGCGCGGGAGCCTTGCGTGGGGGCCCCAGACCCGTGCTGATTCAGGAAACCGGGGCCTGCCTTTCCCCACTAAGTAGATGCCTCACCCACGACCTCCCTTTGGAGGCGAGGATTTTCCATGTCTCAGGGTTTGGACACTTATTCTAAATGGACACAAGGACAGCCATTTCCCTCAGTGCCGTGGCAGTGAATCTACTTCCCCACCAGCCTGCAAAATCAGCACGTCGTTTCTGGAACAGAGCCTGCCGTGCCCCAAGCCTTCGGGTGCCCGCGCCCCAGGCTCTGCCGGCCGGGCAGGTCTTGCAGGCTCCAGAATCACTCCGCCCCGACTGCTCCGAGTTTTGGCCCTCCCGCGTCTCTGATGGTCACCCCCTCGTCCGGCAGGGAGCTGCTGGAGACCACCTGCCGCCTGGCCAACACGCTGAAGAGGCATGGAGTGCGGCGAGGAGACCGTGTGGCCATCTACATGCCCGTTTCCCCGCTGGCCGTGGCCTCCATGCTGGCCTGTGCCAGGATCGGAGCCGTGCACACCGTGGTCTTTGCTGGCTTCAGTGCCGAGTCCTTGGCCGGGAGGATCAACGACGGTGAGCCTGCCTGCGGGCCGTGGGCGGGAGGAGGCCAGCGTCTGCTGGTCGGCTCCGCGGGGCCTGGCCCTCAGAGATCAGAGCAGGGACAGACGTTAATAAACACACGCACGCCTTGAGTACAAACAGCATCGTAATGAGCGTGAGGATGAGCACTTGTCCCACGAGCTGAGGAGCCAGGGACTCCGGGAGGCAGGAAGTCACAGGTGCCGCTGGGTGGTGGGAGGAGCAGCGCGGGGGGGCGGCCTGGAGGAGGCCGGCGTGGCTGCGTGGGGACCTCCCACAGGCCCGGGCCTGCAGCAATGATGGGTGGACCATCTCCAGAGGCCTGCCGTCGCGGTGGGGGCTGGTGGTGTATCTTTCAGGCTCCTGTCTGCAGGTAGTCAAGCCTCTTGGACAGTGTGCAGGCGATTCTGTCCCCTCCTTTTTCCGGTTGGGACGGCCCGTGTCTGTGTGGTCTGGCCCCTCTCCAGAGAGGTCCCAGAGTGAGTCCCCTGAGCCGCTCCTCAGGGAGGGTGCTGAGTTCTGGGGCCACCAGGAGCGCTTTGCGAAGATGCCTTGGGTGGTGGACAGAGCCAGAGGGAGGAGTCTCAGACCCCTGCTGACCCCCCTCTTAAGAGGGCTGGGAAGCCTTGCCACTCCCTTTCAAGGGATGCTGGGCCACTCCTTTCTCTCTCTCTCTCTAAACTCTCTGGCCCTGATAAGTACCAGCCACTGTGCAAAGGTCATCTCCTTTCATTTAACTAAATTGGTCTTCATATATATTGTATAGTAGTCTTTGCTGCTCCCCTCTTGGGTATCACTGTAACCATTTCAAAGCATGCAATCCAAGGGCAGGAAGCACATTCACGCTGTTGAGCGTCATCATCCTGTCTGTTGGAACTACAGCTGCGTATGTGTTCCCGGCTCTTCCTTAGGGGCCAGGTGGGGCGCACTGCGGAGGGTCATTCCTCTGCCTGTGGTCCTGAGGCCCAGGCTGTGTCAGGACCTGATTCCCTGCCCCGGGTCTGGCCGAGCCTAGCTGGGTTGTTGAGGAGCAGGTGTGGGTCCTGCAGAGCCTTCCCCTGAAGGTGAGGGTGGGGGCTGGCCGCTCCTGGCATCAATGGGATGGTCTTCGTTCTCTGAGCAGTGAAGTTCTTGACCTTGGCAGGGCAGGGGCCACACGGGACATGCGGGGCTCGGCGTCTGGCCGCCCGGCTCTCCTGCTCTCTGTCTGGAGTTGCTCTGCCCCACAGCGGCTGTGGCTGGGGGTGGCGATGGTCCCTCACCCAGGAAGCCCCCGGGGCAGGTAGGAGGGAACAGTGGGAGTCCCGGAGGGCTGAGCTCCCAGGTAAGTTATGTGCGGCTACTTCTGCTCCTCATCTGAGCTGGGAAAAGGCCTGGTGTGTCCGTACTGAGCACAGAGGTTGCAACGCAGGCACATGCCTCAGCTTTTTTTGACTCTTACCCCAGAACGGACCTTGTTGGTCACACCCTCAGGCCTGAAATGTGTGGCTTTCCTCTGGGCTCTGAGGTCAAAGTGGGGAGGACACCGGCCAGAAGTGCCTGTTTGTCTCTGTTAGCCAAGTGCAAGGTGGTGATCACCTTCAACCAAGGACTGCGGGGAGGGCGCGTGGTGGAGCTGAAGAAGGTTGTGGACGAGGCTGTGAAGCACTGCCCGACTGTCCGGCACGTCCTGGTGGCTCACAGGACAGACAGCAAGGTCCACATGGGGGACCTGGACGTACCCCTGGAGCAGGTGGGCCTCCTTGCTTTCTGGTTTGGGGAGGAGAGGTTATTCCTGGGTTAACCGGGGCTGAGGCTTGGTGGGTGTGGTTCTCAGTCTGGGGTCCCCAGAGCTGCCCAGTGTTCCCCAGTGGTGTTTGTGGTGTTGAGGGGTTCACGTACCATGCAGAAACGACTGTTTCTGGCTGTTGTGTCCTCTCTGCATCTCTGAAGGGAAGGGGAGCCCTGGGTCAGCCGCCAGGTCCTACGGCAGCTGGGGAAGGTGTCTGCAGGAGGCTGAGTGCCGCGCGCGGGGCTGTTCTGTCCTCCCCTACAGGAGATGGCCAGGGAGGACCCTGTTTGCGCCCCAGAGAGCATGGGCAGCGAGGATATGCTCTTCCTGCTCTACACCTCCGGGAGCACCGGGACGCCCAAGGGACTGGTGCACACCCAGGCGGGCTACCTGCTGTACGCGGCCCTGACGCACCGGGTACGCGCCTCCCGGAGGTGGGGTGCAGGGGCCGCACCTTCCCGGCGGGGCTCTGCGCTGGGGGTGGGGGGGCATGCAGGGGCTGGATTCAGGGCCAGAGCTCCTGCTGGGAAACCACGCCGGGTAGGTGTGAGGTGCTGTTTTCTCCCAGTAACCCGCGTGGGGTCCAGGCCCCACTCTGACGCAGCCCCCGTGTCGGGGTTGAGGGGTGGAATATGCTGACTGGCCAGGTCCTTTCAGCTCTCGAACGACGCGGGGCTGCGGGACTTGGCGTCCTGTGCAAGCACAAAGTGTGGCCTTCCTGGAAAGTCGCCCCCTTTGCCCGGGACATGGCTGCATGGGGCCCTGGCCCCCCCTGTGCTGCTGTCTGGAAGCTCCTGCAGGACCTCAGTGTCCGTCCATGGCAGCAGGAGACGACTGCTCACCCAAAGCTCAAAAACACTCTTTACTGTAAAACAGAACAGTTACAGAAAACTGTCCAGACCAAATGTGGCTTAATGAATCACTGTAATGCCGACCCTGCTTGGGTGCAGAAGCCCCTCATGGCCCGTCCGACCACAGTTGCCCCGTCCTGACCTCCGTGGCACCACTGCCCTGTCTCCTTTTCGAGCTTGTCGCCTAATCATCCCCATGTTTTTGGTGTCTTTCAAGCCCTTTTTAACTCTCCTGTTCCCCCGATGCCTCCCATTTCCTTAGACCGTGTCTGTTGCGCCTGCTGTCCGCCCCCCTTCTGTCCTCTGTGTTTCCTGCAAAGGGGCAGCCGGGGGCGGAGGTGGGGCCGGGCTCCGGTCGGACCCTTTGGCAGGAGCTGCCGTGTCTCTGCAGGTGCTTGGCTGCTGGTGATGCCGCGGGAGTTTGTTGGTCTTTTTGGCTCTCCTTTTTTGCAGTTTTTAAGGCATTTGTTAAAATTGTGGAATAACTTCATACAGAAAGGTGCCCTCATTTTTTTCATACGACTGGAAGAAGTCTACCTGTGGGTACCTGTGTGACCACCGCGGCATCGGGGCTGGGGGTGCCCCACTCCTTGACATGCCCCAGGCGGGCCGGCCCTGGCGACAGAAGGGCTGTGTCTGGAGGGGCTCCCACAGCGCACACTCGGGTCTGGCCCCCTCCCCTGCCGTCTGCAGACGTCGGCTGTTGAGGGTGCCAGGGGCTGCACAAACTGACCCTGCTCCTGGTGGCCGCTGCAGTGCCCGCGTCCCTCCCGCCGGGGAGACAGGCTCCTGACGGCCCTCCCTGCTGTTGCTGCAGCTCGTGTTTGATTACCGGCCAGGCGACATCTTTGGTTGTGTGGCCGACATTGGCTGGATCACAGGACACAGCTACGTGGTGTATGGACCCCTCTGCAATGGAGCGACCAGCGTCCTCTTTGAGAGCACCCCGGTCTACCCTGATGCTGGTGAGGACTGGGGCCCCAGATGAGGAGGGAGCTTCGGGGTGGCGAAGTACACACGTGAGTGGAGGAGAGGCCTGCGCTCGGCCGACTCTGTGGCATAGCTGCCGGGCCTGGGGCTTTGTCTGCGGTGAGATCGGACAAGCAGTAGAAAGGAGTCCAGCTGGGCACTGGAAGCCATCTCAAACCACCCACTCGGGCGTCCTGTCCTTCTAATCAAACTGTCTGCCACGGGCTGGCCCCTGAGATTGTCCCTCTCACGTTTATGGCCACCTGATGGGATCCAACCCTTCAAAGCCCAGGCCCCAGGAATTCCAGGTGGGGGGCATGTCCACATTTGCCATCAGAGCGCACCGTGTGGGGGGCTGGAGAGCCCTCCGTGCCCGAGGCCACGTGCAGGACCTGCTGCCCACCTGGCTCTGCCCCAGGCAGCACAGTATCCAGAGCGTTGGTTTCGGAGTGGCGGTGGGGCCCTGCGGGGAGACTGCCTGAGCTTCCCACAGCGCGGGCGGTGGTGCGCGTGGGACTTGGGAGTTTGTCGCCTCCCCTGTCGTCGCCAGCCTCCCGCGGGGTTAGATGCCCTGGAGCAGAGTGCGCGGGGAGCCCGGCCAGGGAGCAGGAGCTGCAGCTCACGGGCTCTGCATGCTTCAGCCCCTTGAGGCTCAGCTTCCCGCATGCAGAGCGACAGTGGCGAGTCCCCGAGGCTTGCGAAGACGGGGGTGCGCATGCTGGTGTGTGTCCTGGGCTCTGGGGCCCGTGAGTGAAGGGGAAGCGCCCGCCACCCGGCAGAGACTGAACGCAGCTCAGTCTCGGTGCCCCCACCCCACCACACACACACGGGGGGGTTATTTTTAAATCCACCGTAACACTCCTTCGGATTGGCTGGGCCGCCCCGTGCGGGTCTAGCCATGCTAAGCCAGGCAAGGGTCCTTCCCAGCCCCTGGTGGCGGGTGCGCTGGGAGATGACGGCCTCAGCGAGCCCTTCCCAGAGGCTCCCTTTCACGCCCGTGACGGAGGCCAAGTCCCGTTCCTGCTGGTGATGCAGGCATGTGCCGTATCACCTGCGCACACCGTGCCTGGTCTCCAGATACGCTTGCATAGGTGATGTGTGCTGGGCCCTCAGCCTGACGGTGGGTTGGCCTCTTGCAGGTCGGTACTGGGAGATGGTGCAGAGGTTACGAATCAGTCAGTTCTATGGCGCCCCGACCGCTGTCCGGCTGCTGCTGAAATACGGTGACTCCTGGGTGAGAAAGTACGACCGCTCCTCCCTGCGGACCCTGGGGTCAGGTGAGCGGCCGGCCGCGAGGCGGAAGGGGCTGCGGGTGACTGTGGGCACCAGTGCAGGCCTCAGACGGACGCGATCCTGATACTGCGTGGCTGTCATGGAGAAATGGGTGCCAGGCCACAGACGGAAAGCCGAGGACCCGCCTGTGAGACAGACCCCTGCAGCCACAGCCCTCGTGGTCTGGGACAGTCCTGAGGTTTCTGTACCTGTGGGCTGTGCTTTGCCTTCACTGTGAGCCGGGCAGCCCGTGCCCTTGCTGTGCGCTGCTGGGAGTCGCTGCGTAGCCCACCGAGCAGGCCCTGCCGCCAGGCGTCCGTGCCTCCGGGAAGCATGCTGATGTTGTGCGCAAGGCGCTGCTCTCACCGGGTGCCCCTTGGCGGATCCATTCCTGTGCACAGATCCGGCCCCCATACAACACGTCCCCTTTATCGTGGACATCACAGTGCTGCGCTGTTATCCTGTGATGTTTGTTTTAACTGAGCCATACGTAGAGTTCTCCAGGTGGTTCTCACACACTCGCTTGTAGCCTCCTGTGAGGCTGCATGGTGTCTGCAGGCAGGCGTGGCCTTGGGGCTGCGCAGCCAGCTGTCGGCAGCTTCCTGGGCGTCAGCCAGCATGACAGTGGCAGCTTCCTGCCTCCGGCGGGTGTATGGACATGCAGGGCGATACACACTCCCCTGGCCTCCCAAGAGACCAGCTGGCGGGGTGGCCGGGACAGGCCTCGGTGGGCTGCCGCGCTGTGTGTGGTCCTGAGCGAGGCAGCCAGCGAGGGGCACTTCACTGTTTGAGCCGCAGAGTGTGTGAGCCAGCGCGTCTGGCTGAATGCCAGCCTTTGTGGGTGTTCCGTTAGGACAACGTGCCATCCGGCTGCTATCGTCAAACCCCACAACCTGGTGACTTAGAAACAGTAGGAATTTATTTCTCACAGTTCTGGAGACTGAAGTCTGAGGTCAGGATGCCTGCTTGGTCAAGTTCTGCCGAGGGCCCTCTTCCTGGGCCCCAGACTACACCTTTTTGGGGTGTCCTCATGTTGTGGGAGGGGCGGGCAACCCCGTGGGCCTCCTCCCTGTGAGCACTGGTCCCATTCCTGGGGCTCTACTGTCGCGACCCAAGCCACTGTCCTGGGGGGACACCAGCCTTCCCAGCAGGTGGACACCGAGAAGTCGGGCTGTAGAGTAGTGGCAGAAGTGCTCGTATTGTGTGTGTACGTACATGTGACCACGATCCAGCGGAAGCCATAGAAGTTCTAGTCCCCAGAAGGCCGCCGTGCCCCCTCCTAGTCAGTGACCCCCAGTCACAGCCACTGTTCACCACTTAGCAAGGGGGGTTCGCTTCTTGAACGTCACACGCGTGGGCTGGTGTGGTGAGTGCCCGTCTCCTGGGCTGCGGCTGCGGCTGCGGCCCACCCCCACTGCGCGTAGAGCCGTGCGCTTGCGCATGCTGTGTGCTTCTCCGTCGTGTGAACATCCTGGTCTGTTTCTCTGTCCTCCTCTTGATGGACAGTGGTTCGTTTTGCCTGCTGTGAACGTGTCCGTGTTAGGTGGACAGATGCACTTGTTTCTGTGGGGTCTATGCCAGAAGGGACATTTTTGAGTACTAGGATAAAATGTATGTTTAGTCTTAGTAGATTCTGCCACAAATACTGTCCAAAGTGGTGGTACTGGGTGTATGTACTTGTAAATATAAAGAAAAACATCCAAATTGCTCCCCAAACTCACTGCATCAGATTATCCTCCTATGATGTGTGATACTGTTTCTCACACATTCTTGCCGGTGTTTTGATTTTGGACCCGATAGTGAAAATATCTTCCTCTGCTTTGGATTCTTTGGCCATAAGCATGACGGATCTCATCACTTTTTCGTTGTCTTTCATGTCTTCCAGGAAAATTGTAGAGCTTTTTTCCCTGTAAACATCAGTTCCTTTGGGTTTGGAGTTTATTGAGGTCTATTAATATCTTTCACTCTCTCCGGTGTGGTTGCAGTGGGAGAGCCAATTAACCACGAGGCCTGGGAGTGGCTCCACAAGGTGGTGGGGGAGAGCAGATGTACACTGGTGGACACCTGGTGGCAGACAGGTGAGTGTGTGTGGGGGGAGGGGTCCCATGCACCGGGGAGCCAGGCACAGGGCTGCTCAGCGTGCACAACAGCTTTACTCCTGCGTTGGTGCCCCGGGGACACAAGCCACACCGGCAGTGAGGCAGCATGAATGCCACCCAGCACCCGACGCCTGTGCCCCACGGCACGGGGCGGAGACCGGGTCCTGCAGTGCGGGAGCTCGGAGGCGGGGCCGAGCTGCCCTCTAGCAGCTGGAGGCCTCCGTGCCCTTGTCTGTGTGGTGGGGCCCGTGGGGACAGAAAGAGAAGGTCCACCAGCACGTCTTGCCCGGGGTCTGACCCACAGAAGGTACTCAGCTCACGTCCGCTCTCCTTGAGGGCCACTTTCTGAACAAGTGCCTCTGGCACGGGCGCTCTTTTGGCAGCATTGCGCCTGGATTTTAGCGGACAAGGAGTATTTCCCGAACCATTTTGTTCTCGCTCGCCTCCTCTTGGGAATCTGACTCGTTAGGATCTTTGGGAAGAGACATGACTGAGGCCAGAGGCATTCAGAGCAGCCCCCTCTCACCCCTCCTGAGGTGGTGAGACCCTGAGCTGAGTCCCGTGGGGCCTTTCCGTGCAGGCTGGCGGAGGGAAGGGCCCCAGAAGCACGGGAAGGCAGCGTGCGCTGGCGCCTCTTCACGGCTTGGTCTGCGTGCTCCGGGGAGGCGGCTACTTTCCCCGTCCTGCTGGGAGGGTGGTGGGCTTGGGCATCGGCACTGAAGCCGGGGGCTGGGGGGGGTGCAGCTCCCACTCCTGCGGGTCCAGTTCCTGGGACCGCGCTCTCGTTCCCCCGTGGAGCGGACTGGCACCCAACCTGGTTTTGCCTCAGAGGTCCTGGTGTCACTGGGGGTGCAATTCCTGTCCCCCAGCAGGGGCAGCTGCACCCGCTGCCTCCTCTGGGAAGCCACCTGTGTCCAGCATGCCCTCTGACGGCAGCCTGGGTGCACACATCCCCAGTCCCCAGGCCCACCTGGTGCTTCTTCCCTGCCCCCCAGAAACAGGCGGCATCTGCATCGCGCCACGACCCTCCGAGGAGGGCGCAGAAATCCTCCCTGGCATGGCGATGCGGCCCTTCTTCGGCATCATCCCTGTCCTCATGGATGAGGAGGTGAGGCGGCCCTGCAGGGGCATCTCCCATCCGCACGTGCACCCTGCCGGGTCCCTGGCTCCCTCCCCTTCCTGGCCTCTGCCTCCCACTGTCCCGCGTCATGCGTGCCCAGCCGGGTGGTGGAGGGGCCAGCAGGCACTGCGGTCGCCTTGGCTGCATGGCAGAGACCTGGGCAGCCCCCTCGGGCTCACCTGTTGTTCCCCTGCCCCCGGCTGAGCAGGTGGGGGAAGGAGCTGTCAGACGGCCCATCTCTCATGGGTGTCCTGGTCTGTAGGGAAATGTCGTGGAGGGCTGTGATGTCTCCGGGGCTCTGTGCCTCTCGCAGGCCTGGCCAGGAATGGCCCGGACCATCTACGGAGACCACCAGAGGTTCCTGGACGCCTACTTTAGGGCTTATCCAGGTGAGCCGGCGAAGTGGAGTGTATCAGGCGTTGCACACCGCTCGGATCACATTGTCTGGAAATGCCCTTACGGGCACAGGGTGCGAGCATAGTGCGGTGGGCAGGACAGGTCCTTGGGGGGCCTGTGTCCGGGGCCTGCTGCTCCCACTTCCCTGCCTGACTCGGCTCCTGTCTGCGGCGGGGGTGGCCCCTCAGCCGGAGGCACACAGAGCCCTGAGCGTGCGCCTGGCCCTGCTGCACACCCTGTGGGCTACTGGGAAACCAGAGAGGAGGAGCCACCCCGGAAGCTGTCCTGCTGGCTGCAAGTCCCCCTCCCGTTCTGCTGTTCCCCGGTTTGCAGTGTCCCTGGGCTGGGTTTGCACGCACGCTATGCCTGTTGGAACTGGTCGTTTCCACCTCAAGCTTGTAAACAAGCTCAGTCTTTGGGCAGCTTGGATGGGCTCCTGTGTGTCTCCTGCTCCCTAGACCTTGGTCTTGAAGCTGCCCCTTCAGTAGCGCACAGCCCGGTGACACCTGCTGGGTGCCTCCTGATGGGGCTGCTGGGAGGGCAGGCAGGGGGCCGGCACGCGCGGGGCCTTGCAGCTTCCTTCTGTAGAGAGGTCAGAACGCTGCCCCGGCGTACCCCTCGTGCAGGGACAGGAGTCCCCTGGGTCCTGGGGCAGAGGTACTGGTGCTGAGCCCCCCACTGCCATGCAGGCTACTACTTCACTGGAGACGGCGCTCTCCGGACCCAGGGCGGCTATTACCAGATCACGGGGCGTATGGACGATGTCATCAACATCAGTGGCCACCGGCTGGGGACTGCGGAGATCGAGGATGCGATGGTGAGACAGGCAGCCTTCCCTGCTGCCCGCCTCCTCAAGCTGGGGGAGTCTGCAAGCCGAGCCAGGCGTCTGGACTCCTGCGTGATTTGCTCGTTCTGTTCTGCACAGGCTGCCCACCCGGCCGTGCCTGAGACCGCTGTCATCGGCTACCCCCATGACATCAAAGGCGAAGGTGAGCTCCCCGCGAGGAACTCCCATTCCTGGTCTCACAGGCGCCTGCGAAGGAGCACACGAGGGCGGGTGCCGGGGTCTTCCTGGCCAAGCTGTTGGTTTTCTTCTCAAGTGGAGATTTTGGGGGAGGACGCTGCCTAGCACTGGGCTGGGTGAAGGCTGGATTTCCGAAGGGCCTTAGCTCTGCTGTCCTCAAGCAGCTGTGGCCCATCTGGCCCTCCACTGGGCCTGGGGAGTCTCCACTGGCTCCCTCTGCAGCGTGGTGGTGGCCCCCCGCAGCCCCCATCTGTCCTCAGTGCCCTGCCCCCCCCAGCACCCCCTCTGCCCACAGTGCCCTGGGGTCCTGGTCGTGCTGGCTCTTTGTGAAGCGCCCTGCCCTGCTCCCGGCATTGCTGCGCCTGTGGGTCACAGTGCCCACGGCCAGTCCTGCAGCTGTCCCCTGGGCAGATCAGTGTCCCTGGAGCAGCTCTTTGCTGCTCTGGGCCTCCTTCCGGAGGAACTGGACCTATTCCGCTGCACGAGGACAGGCTGGGGGGATGCACACGAGTGATCGGGGGGCATGCTGTGCTCCCAGCGGGCGGGTCTGGGAAGGGGCAGGATCCCACGGGTGTAATGCCGGTCGGTGTACGATGCCCACCCTGGCCTGGCCTGCACACCTGCTGACCCCGCTCCTCACTGCTGGGCACACGGCCGTGCCTCCCTCCTGCAGTCGGGGCTTCTGTGTGCCAGCGTGTCCCAAACGTCACCTGCCTCCCTGCCATGTTTCTGTGCCATTCTGTCATTTGCTCACTTATCTAAAGTGACCCACTGTAAAAATTGACATTTATTTACTTTTAAGAAAGTAATTTTCAGTTGCCGTGACGAGGTTGTGCCCGAGGGCTGCCATCCCCATTACCGGGAGATCGGACCACGTGGGTGGCATCAGGGACCGTGAGGCGGTGGAGGCAGGAACACGTCCTGTGTGCGGCTCTCTGAGGGCACGGGCCACTTCACGCCGTCGTAGGCAGCTTCTGGTGTCTGCCTGCCTGGGGTTGGGGGGAGCTTGTGTACGCGAAGATGTGCATTTTCCTGATTTCTGACAGATCTGAGCATCTCTCCACTTGCACTTCAGGGACAGTGGCAGAAGCTCGTGTACTTACTTGTCCCCACTCCCTCTGCACTTGACCTGATGGGAGCCCCTGCCTCTTGGTTCGGTAGGACCTAGATACGGTGGGGAAAACCCCTGCCCCATGGAGCTGACACGCTGGAGGGGCCATGGAGGCAGGGGGAGACACTATACGGCACGCACGGCCAGAGGATAGTGTGAAGTAAGCCAGGTGCCGTGTGCCAGGGGAGCATTCATTAAGATGGGCTGGACCGGTGCAGGTGTAAACGAGGGCTGCGCATACACAGACCCCCGTGGATGATGGGGGGGGTGCTGCAGGTTGGGATGGACAGACTGTCCCAAGTGGTGCCGGGACGAGTGACTGCTCATGTGAAGAACAAACAGATCCCCATGTCACATCAAAGTCTTATCCCAGATGGATTCAAAAGAAATGTCTTGAGAGACCTGTGCGGACCAGATAATCCTTCCTGGGACAGATGTTGAGGAGATCTTGACTGTTGAAAAGATGGTGGTGAGATGCTGAGAAATCACACTTGGCGTTGATGCTGGGACCTTTGCTGGCTGACACTGCCCAACAGGCCCTCCTGCCGCGTTCTTCCTCTGCTGTCGGGCACGGTCACCAGGAGCCCCATGTGGCTCACGCAGCTAAGCTACGGCATTTTAAACTGAATTTAATTCACATTTACAGTGCACTGTGGCTAGTGCCCCCAGGTGGAACACCCACCCATGAGATGACGCCACATGTCCCACCTCACAGGAGCCAGCCCACGTCACGGGCTGCTGCACGGGTGCCGGGACAGGGAGACAGGTCAAGTCCATCCCCAAGGTCACACACCAGAGCCAAGGCAGCGAGCTCGCTCTGCATGCTGCCCGCCCGGACGCTCAGAGGAGCTATTAGAATTGCTTCTGCTTTGAATGAAAATGGAAAAGCAGCTTTAGGGCTGTAACTGAAGAAACCAGGGGCGATGAGGTCACCAAAATATGATTTAAAAACCCTTTGGATTTAATGGCGACTTGTATACAACCTGCCTGGGGAGACGGTTTGTGATCTGATGCATCCCCGACCTTTGCTTCCTTCCAGCTGCATTCGCCTTCATCGTGTTGAAAGATGACGCAGGTGACGCAGACGTGGTGATGAGAGAGCTCAGGGCCACAGTGGCCAGCAAGATCGCCAAGTACGCCGTGCCGGACCAGATCCTGGTGAGGCGCTGTGCCGCAGGGCCCCCATGCCGCTTGTTTTAAGCCGCTGCCTCTGCTTCCCACAGTAAACAAGTAACGGTGGTCCTTCCATCAGCTCCCAGCAACACTGACATTAGCTGTCTGGTTTCCTGGGCGGTAGGTGAGGATGGCGGGCTGCTCATCCTCAGAGAGGGAGACGGAGCTGGGCCACCCGTCCTTGGATTGGGGGCGGGGTGTGTGAGTGTGTGTGGTAGACAGAGCTGGGCCCCCCATCCTCAGAGGCAGGGGGGAGGGCGGGGAGATGGAGCAGCAGACACCCACACGACTCAGCTCTTGGGGCTGCTGGGCAGGGTTGGGAACGGTCTGTCTCTGACACAGGAGCAGGGCTGGGTGGTGAAGAAAATGAGGGGTTTTAAATAGACATGTGGAAAGCACCAGAGTTCTCCAGCCCATGTGGTTTCTGAGTACATTTCCTGGTGCCAGTGAGGGGGGTGCCGCAGCGTATCTGATGGGGTCTGTGTTGCCATCTGTTCTGGGAAAGACCCGGGCCACCTTGCAGCCCATTAGCTTTTTTGCCTGCCTTTGTTAGCACTTCTCCCGTCGCCCGCCTTGGTTTGGAGGTGGTCCTCTGAGGTAGAGGGTGTGTGACAACGTCAGACTGCCGGCTGGTGACCGGAGTTTCAGGGAGACCTTAATTCCGCTTATGTGAACTGAACTCTTTCCAAAGACAGGCCGTAATAGGAACCCCAAACGCAGCTCGTAGTGTATTGCTGTTGATACTGAACGGGCTGTGGTTGTTTGAAAATGCTAAATGCTAAATTTTCAGGGCTGTGGTTGTTTGAAAATGCTAAATGCTAAATTTTCAGACACTGAGCGAGACAGCATTTTGATTTCGAGTTGCTTTTACCTCTGATGTTAGGAAAACCAGCTGTGGCCCAGCCTGTGGTAGAGGCGAGGGGCATGGCAGGTGCGTGGTCCTGCTGCTGTCTCTCTAGTGCGGCTGATGAGAGACACACTGGTGCTGGCAGTGAGGGGGCCCAGGCCCGGGAAGACCCCTGCCTGGTGGCGGGCGTCTGCAAACCCCCGACCCTGCTGGATCCTGCCCTTCGGGCTGATGCAGCTTCAGGTTCGGACCGTAGGGTAAACCCAGAGACGTGGGGCCCACTCCTCAGCACTCCTTACCAGGCCACCAAGAGGGGCCTCATCCCTGAGCACAGCCCTTCCTATCTCAGTGCAGGCGGGTGCTGGCTGCGGGTCTGGGCGCCACCCCAAATGCAGCACCCCACCCCCCCTTTCTGCCAGGTAGTGAAACGTCTTCCAAAAACTCGGTCTGGGAAAGTCATGAGGAGGCTCCTGAAGAAGATAATCACAGGCAAAGCTCAGGATCTGGGGGACACCACCACTCTGGAGGACCCCGGCGTCATCACGGAGATACTGAGCACCTACCAGAAGCATCGGGACAAGCGGGCTGCCGCTCAGTGATGGGCAGTGCCCACCTCATGCCCAAGCCCTGACTCGTTCTTCCAGAACGCAGCTCCCAAACTGGCTTATTCCTACCCGTCCCAGCAGCAGTCCTCTGGCAAATAACCCGCACTGCCTCCAGAGTTAAGTGCGTGTGAAGCCCCTTCTTCCTCCATCCGTCAGACCTGGGTAGCCTTCATCCCCTGTGTCCTCAGCTTGGTTTCCTGAGATGCTGTCACCGTCGTCCTTGTTTCTGGGTCCCCTCCAGAGAGGTGAAAAACCTGATAAAATGTGCCTGCTCCGATGACCAAGAACCAGAAGCAATCATGTTTTTTCTAGATGTTTCTAGATACAGAAGGCAGAAATTTTATTTTTATACTTTTGTATTTTGGAAAAATAGTGTACACACACGTGGCATGTGTGGGTTCACTTGTAACATTTAAAGTCACGAAAATCTCCTTTTTGCCCCCGCCCCGGGGATGTGTGGAGAGCTGGGAGGGCACCCTGACAGTTATTATTGGGCATATTTAGAGATCTAAATTGGAAATGTTTGTTCCTTGGCCTTAATACAGCTTATCTGGAGAACTCGCCAGCCTTTAGGCGCCCTTTGTCGTGTATTTGTACTTCCCTCAGTTTACGGATAACAAAACTCCCGTGTAATTTTACTTCCCCCATGTCTGGCCCCCAGGCCACGCCCACCTGCTGGGACCCGCTCCTGTGGCCCGGGGGCACTCTGTGGTTCCTCGGGGCGTTGATGTTGGTTCCTGGGCTCCTACCTCCCGGCTCAGAGTGTAACACGCCTGCACGTCGGCTCACCTTACTTCACCTTTGTTGGGTCACAGCCCTCGGCTGAGCACTGGAAAGCTTTCAGGAGGTTATCTGTGGAGGACATGGAAACAACACGGGCTTGGGAAAAGCCCTGCACTGGAAGTAGGGAGTGGTGTAGGTTTAGCTCAGGCTTCGGGTGCCTGCCCAGCACCAGGCCGGAAGAACCCTGACTCGCTGAGGTGACCCTCCATGTGGGCCAGGGTTTCAGTGGAAGTGGGCCTCACCCCTGGTCATGGGGTGCGTGTTGGGGTGGGTTCTGGTCAGTCTAATCCCGTGGCTCTCATCCAGGGGCATTGATCCTCCAGGGGATGCTAGCAATGTCTAGGAGATTATCGTGACCAGGTGGAATGCTGAGGGTGTCCAGCAGGTGGAGGCCAGGGATGCGGCTAAACACCCTGCAGTGCCCAGGACGGCCTCTCATCCCTCAACAAGAATTTTCTGGCCCCAAATGTAGTTGTGTGAAGGTTGAGAAACCTGGGCTCACCAACCATAGTGGTCCTATCCCCTTGGCAGTAAGTGGGTGGCAGCTAGGCTGGAGGGTGGCGTGGGAGGACTGAGAACTGAAACCACAACGGGCAGAGTGGATCCCGCCAAAACGCAGAGAAACGGTACTGTTTCATGCGATGCAAATGATCTAAGTGCAGACCATTTGCTCCAGGACACAAGCTGATCTCCCAGTAACCCCCCACGTACTCATTTTACATAAGACCACTGACACCTCCAATGCCTCTCCTAGTGTAAAAATTCTGACCTGTCCCTGCCAAGATCATCTATGACACCCCAGCCCTTGAAGCCCAGGAGCACCGTTCCACGACTCCTGTTGGCAGGAGCCTCACAGGTCCTCTGCTGCACTCCTTTGTGGCGGCAAGTTCAGCAAGCCTAACTTTTAACTTTCTTTTATAGATCTGTTTCTGGTGTTTTCGGTTGGTGGGCTTTAGCACTGGGAATGCAGTGGGCTAAATTCTGCATTTGGGGTATGTTCAAGGTGGCTTAGAAACATGTTCTGCTTGAGAAATTAGGGGAAGGATTTTCAAGCAATACTACTTGAAGTGGGTTGTGCATGATAAAAATGTTTTTGACCAAGTAGAGGTGAAGGAAGGCATGATGACAGGAAGGAGGAATAATACGGACAAAAGTAGGGAGGCATAGAATCAGGAACAGCTAGCAATCCTGAATGTCTGACACATGGGATTTAGGGCAGGAGGGGCCAGATCATGCGGAGCTGTGTGATCCGTTCCTGATAAAACAGCTATACAGGGAATGAAGTAAAATGCTGCACAGACCTCAGTTATAACCTGATATTCCCCCAGAACTGGATTAATAAAACCCGACTTAGCTCAGGCTGGTTCATCATGGCTTTTCTTGCGGAACCGTCGTGCGGGCTGCCGTGCCGTCTAACACTGAGAAACAGCGTTTGCATCAGGAAGGCCTTCAAGGGCAGTAAGGAAATTCGTAGCAACTTCATTTTGAACATGCCTTTCCTACCAATGCATAGGTAACAGGATGTGGCTTCCTGCCTGGAAATCCTCTTTCTTCCCCAAATGCTATTCATTTTTCAGCTCCTCCAAGCTCTCAAGTTATCACGCCGCACTAATTTCCTAAGTGAGGGAGCGTGTCTGTAGGTCGCTCACGTCTGCGCCCAGCACCCGAAGGGCACCCGGCTCCGCGGAGCCCTGCCAGTAACGGCGGGCGCTTCACGCCTCCCGAGGCCGGTCTCAGCCGACTCGCAGCCCATCGTCACTGCTCGGCGGAGCCCTTCTACGAACTTGCTCAAATGTCTGTCTGCACAAAGAGACTTAGGCTCAGCGTCGGGCGAAAGGGGCACCTGCCGCCCCCACTCGCCCCGCCGGGATCTGTCCGGGAAGGGCGGGGCTGCCAGGCCGGGTCACGGCCCCGGGGTTTCCGACACCGCCCGAAGGCCCGCGCGCCTGTCAATCATCAGCGCCGTCCTCGCGACAATTCCTCGCGGCGCGGGTGCAGCGTTACGTCGCGGCTGTCGGCGTCAGAAACACAGCAAACGGGGGGCAGGGGGCGCCGGGGCCGGGGAGCCCGGGGCCGGCCGCGCGCCCGCACGGAGCCCGGCCCGCGGCCATCTGCTGGGAGGCGCCACCGCACGACGCTCCGGAGCCGAGGCCCTCGCGGCCGGAAGGGGCGGGGCCAACGTCACTTCTGTGCGCGGCTGGGGAAGGCGGGTCCGCGGGCGGCGCGGCGCCGGCGCGCGAGCTGGGCGGGGCCAGGGTAGAGGCCGCGCGGCCCCGCCGGGAGGCGGCCCGGGGTCGGCCGCGCTCGCACGATGAACGAGGCGGATGGGCTGCGGCAGCGCCGGCCCCTGCGGCCGCAGGTGGTCACGGACGACGGCCCGGTCCCGGAAGCCAAGGACGGCAGGTAGGCTGGGCCCGCAGGGCGCCGCCGCCTCTGTCCGCGGCGGAGCGCGGCTTACGGGCCCGAGGCCTGCGAGTCGGCGGCTCCGGGCCCCCGGCCGCGGCGCCCGCCCCTTCGCGCCCCGCGCGCTCGCCGCAGCTCCCGAGCGGTTGCCTCCTCGGGCCCTCGCTGCGCGCTGTCCTCCCTGCTGCTCGCCGCGGGGAGACAGCGGCCGCGGCCCAGGCCTCCCGGCGCCCGCTCGCACCGCCCTGAAGGGTCCGGGCAGGTGCTCGGGGCCCCGGTGGCCAGCGAGGAGCCGGGCTGCGCACCCGGCCGCCTCCCGCCGCGGTTTTCCGACAGAGCCGAGAACAGAGGGACCGTGCTGGGCGGCTCGTCCTGGGAGGGACGACAAGCATGGGAGCCTGCAGTAGGTGCCTGGTGGAAGAAGCCCCAGTTTTGACCTCAAGTAGGCTGTGTTCTGGTTGAAAACAGAGGCATGATTCTTAAGTCAGCTATTTCAATATAAAGTACTTTAAATTTTGTGTCCCGAGTCTCATAACTTTGAAATTTTAGGGAGAACAAGGTCAAAATTGTGGAACTGATTGACTAATGGGTCAAAAGAAGTATCAGAAATATTTATTGATGTGCAAAGGGTGAGGTACGTACTGAATCAGGGACAGTTTTTGGTGGGACAGACTGAGTTTATTCGCCATTGGTAATAAGAGGAACCCACGGGAAGAAGAGCTCTAGCATCGAGGCCTGTTTCGGCTCTGGAAAGGCAATTCACAGAGAAGATTTTTAGATAATATCTGACTCCTGAGGCCAGTGGCAAGGTCAGGAGTTTGCCGCCCTGTGTGATCCTGACCGCAGGGGGACCCAGTATCCAGGTTTGTCCTGGACTTAGGTTTCCCAGGACACACCGGTCACCTTATCTGCTGTGCAGTTCGCAAGGCCGTTGCTGATGACCGTGGAGCCCTCAGAAGGGATGTGCAAGGACAGGCAGGGCTGTGCTGCGGAAACCGTGGAAACAAGGCATTACTGGGTACGCTTTTAAACCAAACATGACAGAGCAGCTGGCATGACTTGGTGATGAGGTGCAGTGTGTTGAAAATCAGGGCATACGGCTCCTGAGGGCCCTTGTCGGGTGGTCCAGCCCTCAGCTGGGCTCCTCTGTTACTCCGGGCTCAGGGGCAGACGGGCAGATGATTAAATTGTTTTTCCCTTTCTCTGTGGGGATCTCTGACTGAATGGCAGGGTAATTGGATGGGCCATGGCTGCCGTCTGCTGCTCATCTTCTCCAGTCTGCCCTTTACATTGTGCTTATTTAAGAAATTTTCTTGATCTCCCTGTCCATGAACATTGTTCTTATTTTCGTATTTCCCCTTTTCGTATTTGGTTGATCCCTTTTTAATATGTCTGTAACGATCTCTTTCAAAGTGCATTCTCACCTTCCTTTCTACGTTTATTCTTATAACTAGCTTTTGGAATTTTTTTCATGGAGTCTCTTTCATGGCTTCTGTGGCCATTTCTACTAGTTCATCTAGTTGTTTTCTTGGTTACCTTAAAACCTGAGGGTTCACCGTAAGACGGGAAAGCACTGTGTACAGCGGGTGAAGTAAAGGGATCTGAAGGGAGTAGAAATGGACGGATTATGGAATGAAGTTTAGATAGGTGTGCAAACAATATAGAAAGCCTTGAAAGATACTTATTCAATTAATGGAACAGAAACTGGACAGTGAATTTTAGTGGAAGGACCTAGCGATACCTTGGCTGGTCTCACGACGCTTGGCACGAAAAATGATGGTAGCTCTGTTTTACTGATGAGGTCATGAGGTCTATGTGAAGGAAGTGCTTTATATGATGTTAGAGTAATGGAGGCAAAAGAGAGGTGAAAATCAATAAGAAAGGATAGTACTGGTGGCTGGGCAGTGATTGAAAAGCACATTTAAAAAACTGTGCTTTGGCAGGGCATAAATCTGCAAAGAACTAAAAAGCTAACCTTTTCAAACAATATGGCTTCTCTCTCACTTACCAACTTTACATCTCCCTGTATGGCCCCGGAAGATGACTGGTTAGCCAGAGACGGGTAAGATTCCTCAAGGGAGGAACAACCTAAGACAGGCACAGTCGCAGGGGGGCCATCAGGTGAGAATTTGGGGATCAACAGAGGTGAGGCTCAGAACCTCACCCCCCCTGCTTTGAGAGAAATCTTCTGCATCCGTGGATGTCTTGCTGCCCTTGTCTAGCCTGGATTAATACTTAGTCCATAGGCACACACCTGATCATCTGATCATCTACATTTGCCTTCTTACAGCACTAAACTATGTTTTCTACCTTTATCTTGCATCTACCTACCACTTCAGCATTTTATTAAAAATAAAAATAATAATAATAATAGGAGAAATGTGGGATCAACATATAAATCAAGTACAAAAATCAAATGAATATTCATATTTGACCTGATGGTTTATAGGTCATATTGCATGATCAAAACCGAAAGTTTCTGTGATGAATGCCCTTGTACTGTTCACCATGTAAGAATTTATTCACTCTGTAAGAATTCGTTCACCATGTAAGAACTTGTTCGTTATGCTTCAGAAGATTGGAGACTGACGAGAATTAGGCTTGAGATGGATTAATGATTGTACATTGAGC